GGGTTTAGGGTTTCGGGTTATGTGGGACTGGGGGGAGCAAGAGCAGGAGCAGGACCAGCAGAAGCAAGACATCCCCCATAAGTTTCAGTCGAGATAAAAGGCCCCTCATATTCCCCGAACAGTAAACACATGTTCTTTGGTTTTTACTTGGGGAGGGTGTGGTTAAAGGAGGACGACCAGCAAAGCGACTTGCAAATACAAACTCATTCTGTTCATTAAGGCCGTATATCCCGTCCTCGTACAAAAAACCAGCAACCAATATTATGAACCGGCACTTGCACACATGAAAACGGAAGAACTACCAAGCCCCCCCGTTTCTGCAATGCTTCCAGGTACTGGGCCTAAACCCTAAACCCTAAACTCTCAAGCGCACCCTATAAACTCTTGTGCTTCCTCAGAAAACCCTGATCCCCAAGCCTGAATGAATGCCAACCCAGGATTTCTGAATCCTAAGTAAACCCTAAACCCTAANNGGGTTTGCCCTAAACCCTAAACCCCGGCCTGGGGTTCAAGCCTGCAAGCTGTAAAACGCCGACGCCTAAATGCCCAATTTCGATGCCCAAAGCATTTCCTAGCCATCACCTCGTGTGCACGCTCGAGTTTCTTACTATGAAAAGACTACAAGGCCGGTGTTAAGGGTTTGGGGTTTATGGTTAGGGGGTTCTTTTTGCCTTTTTTGGTTTGGTGTTTCGAGCTTTCGGGAGAACCTGAGTACCTTAAGCTACCACAACCCAGGTTTTTATAGGTCATGTTCTAAACCGTTACAGAGAATTCATAGGGACGCCACAAAACAACACAGGTTTCTGCTATTTTAAGGTAAGGTTGAAGTGAAGTGATTCTGCTCAGATTCTCCAGCTACTGGCCGGCGAAGCAGAGCCTGGCGACGAAGCACGGCGGGTGGAGCGGCTCCTGGCATGGCTTGTGCCCCGAAGCCGATCCTAAATCCTAAGCCCTAAACCCGAAGCCCAATCCGAAGAACAACAGCACAGCAACAACGATGGCTCTCCCAAGCGTGCAGATGCCATGCAGAGAGTCCCTAACACAGCTGGATCATGCTGACAGAGTATGCAGACTGCCCAATTTGTCCTTCGTCTCAGCTCAAGAAGCTCAGTGCAACAGGGCAGATGGATCCCTATTTTATTCCTTGCGGTTGCAACAGCTGCGCAGCGACCACAACGGGCTGAAGACCAT